AAATGTGGAAATATTGGGTACGGGGAGGACAAATAAAAATAGAGAATTTTTAGAAGCTTGGCACTCAGGTCAATCAGCAATCAACAAACACATCGACATTGACCCAATTTATCAACCAATCAGGAAAATCATAGGTGACAATGAATCACGAAACAGATCAAAAGGGGGATACAATCAAAACAAAGGTGCAGACAACGACAGGTTTAAGGCCAACAGCAACCAATCAAGATCGAGGTTAACAGAACAAGCTAAAGGTCAAACGTGGAGAAATTCGAATACTTCACTTCTATCTGAAGTTTGTGCTGATGATGTTGTTCAGAAGAACAATGAAAGCTCCACAAACAAAAACATCCAGCTCAGAGAACTAAACACCACGACATGACTAATCACTACCTATTTTGACAGCGAATGTATGAGTAGGTTGTAGAGAAGGTTATGTTGACCAAATCCAAGGTATGATAACCAGTCGATGAAGTCACTAACTACTGAGGCGGTGTGAGTAGTGTAAACAGGAGCAGACTGTGTAGTTGGAATGGATACGATAACGAGGATAGATCAGTGAGTGGAGACATTGGATAACATGCATAAGAGTTAGTCACACTGTTGTATACGCCTTCACAATTTATGTTGTTTTCGATTTGAATTGTGGTTTTTGCACATACTTAATATCCTCATAATCTGTGTTTTTGATTGATTCATTTTTTGTGGACGTGTTCATGTTTTTTTCTCATTACCATTGTTATTAGATAATTTCAACTTCCTTTCTATGAATCCATCCTTTCAAAAATTCATTTAGTCATGTTAACGTCATATTTATATATATATATATATATATATATATATATATATATATATATACTAAGTTGGACAATTTTTTCTTATCTCTGCCAAAAGATCTACAGTGATCATCATAACTGACTGTTTGACAGGCGACTTAACCAAATATCAAACTTCATCATAATGTATGAACACATTTAGTAAATTACTTATCACTATATATCTCTATATTTATTCATAGTAAAACTCAGATTTTTAAAAATGTTACACAATTTTTTCTTGTTGAAATGAAGTTTCTCTGGATAAGAAGCATTAGAAAAGGATTATATATTATTATATGCCAATGTTTATATCTCGATAACCGAATTATATTTATATATTTATATATATATGTATATATATCCGTTTGGCGTCATAGCAACCTTACATAATGAGTTAAACATTAAACAAAACAGAAAAAAACCCAACAACCTAATTAGTTAGTACAAAACACACAATGACAAACCGACATCGGCAATATTAACAATAACATCAGAGAGAGAGAGAGATAGAGAGCATCAGAATGGTTTCGGAAAAAAAATTCACCCGAAACGTTTGATGAGAAATATGTGGGATTCAACAAAAGCACAAGTTTGTACTACCACTACTACTAATAATAATAAGCGTATATATAGAGGAAGAAAGCATAAACCATATGGAAGGAAACTAATCACAAGAAAGTTTAGTTAGTTTAGTTATTATTGAACTCAGGAGTTCTAATTATAAATTATTCATTCATCTTCAAGTAAAAAAAGAAAAAGGCGAATAGATTAAATAAACTTTTATTTTTGACACAAAAGAATATTTGAGAAATTATTTTCATAATGTGATATATACTACCTAAATTAATTTAGTAAAAGTAATGCTTAGTGTACCACAAAAAAAGGTGGTGTATTCGGGGAGACAAATACACAACCAATTTGATTGATATCGAAAGTGGTAGGTAGTGGTGGTATTCAAAAATTACAAACAACCAAACAAGTGGTTTCACAATCTATTATTACGTAAAGATTCTTCTAAATGCAAATATTTTCAATAAATTTACGATTAATTAAGTAGTAGGGATGTTTCTTAGACCAAAAAATTGAAACTGAATTCTAACATTGAATCTGATGATTTGTGTGGCGTAGACAGCATATATTTAGGTGCCTCTTTGCCCTACTGTTTATGTAGTTAAATAAAATAATCAATAATCCAGGAAATCAATTTTATCCTGTTTAGAACAGTCGTATCTGTGTCCCAGGATTTGAACTCAGTGCCTTTCACTGCTAATGCTTAACGAGTTAGTTATACACTGAACAGCTGCAACCTGTTTCAGTATCTTTTCAGAATGAAAAAATTATGTGACTTTATGACAAGATCAAAGCTATTCGCTGACGATAAAAAAATGTACGTCAGAAAGCGACTGATCAAAAGCGGTTCTTACGATCAACGAGAAATTTCAAAATATTACAGTCAGTCAGATGTAACGTAGAACTTCGTACGTAAGTACATCAGTTCATGTCGCCATACCACATCAGCACAGAGATATAATTGTCAATTCAAATCCAATAGTAGAAGAGTTAGTAAAGGTATTAGAAGTAATCGGAGAGGTTCGAATTTGAAGATATTATTCAAGAAGTATGATTCAGTGGGAAAAGTTTACAAAGTTGAAGAATCCAGAAGATTAGGGTTTGAGAGAACACAAAAAATAAATGCACCGACGCCATTGCGAACGATTTTGAGCCATGTCATTCAAGGTCTCAAACCATCGATTATCATCATCTCGCGGACCCCAACCAGGTAGTCGACAATTACCGACATGGCTAAGTCCACTCGTCAATGACTTCATGGATCTCTGCTATGTTTTGGTTTGGCCGCCCCTAACTTTCTTCCAACCTATTCCCATACTACAAAACAAAGCTCGTCAAGGCAGTCGGTGGTTAGGCATACGCAGCACATGTCCCAACCACATCAAATGATGAAATTTCAGCACTTCATCTATTGATCTGTCATTCTTACCTAGCACCCGATTCCTAATAACAGCGTTGCTCACTCGGGTGTCCCAGGATGTACGAGCAATGTTTCGGAGACACCGATGATCGAAAACCAATAACCAACGAATATCTTCTACTCTCAATGGCCATGTTTCACAGCCATAAAGTAAGACGGAGCGAACTACTGCACAGTACACTCGTCCTTTAGTCAGCAAACGGATATCTCGCCTTCGCCATAAGTGACGCAGGTTGGCAAAAGCCAATCGAGCCTTCTGTATCCGAGCTGAGATTTCGTCAGTCACCAGGCCATCAGCACTGATGAGACTCCCAAGACAAGTGAAGCGGTCTACACGTTCGACTACTTCACTCCCTATCACTAGTTCATCAAAATATTACAATAAATCATGATCATAAGTGTAATTTTGGTGAATTGAAATTAGACATTAACACTGTTGGATGCAAAAATTGTTAACCGTTCTCCACGGGACCAAAGGTTCAATACCCAGGCTCAGAGTTATGTTTGCGCATAGTCGAAGAGTTTTAAGCTAGGACAAAACAGCTTTCAAGTGCTTAATGATTTTCAATAGAAGTCTAACGAAGACCAGTTAGTGATTAAAACCACAATTATATGACTAGGATCGACTTACTCCAATACTAAGTCATAACCTGAACCACACGAGCAACATAACACGTGATATTTAAGTCACATTTCCTGATTGACTAGAAACATTTCATAGCTAATGAAACAATGGCTTAATGGGTTAAATTATTCATCTTTTCTATTAATAAGCATCTGTTTAAATCAAGTTTCAACTTCAACTACTTACTTTGACTTCCATACAATCGGCTAATCTTAAATATAAACAATGTAATTTAAAGTCGATTACATAAACTAACTACATTGTTAATAATTCATCATAGTACAGTACAGTACTATACACACTAAGTAATGAATATATAATTACAAGAAATTACTAGCAATATTAACAATGCACCATAGTTTTTTCCTTTGATGGAAGGTGTGTAGGTATGTATGTTGGTTAACTTAGATAAAAAATATACATCATGTGTGTCTAGGATGTATATATATATATATATATATATATATATATATATGGTGTTTTCAACCAAACTTTCATCATTAAAAAGTAAAAATTAATTTTTTTTTAAAACACGGGAGAGATTTACTGGAAATAAGAAAATCAAAAGTTATTTTCCGAGTTTCATATCATCTCTATAATGCATGAAACATTCAATAAACTCTTTGATTAGGAAAAACACTTTTGATCTGTTTCTTGATCCTGTGTCACCTTACAATCAGGAAAATCATAGGTGACATTGGATCAAGAAACAGATCAAAGGGGAGAGGCAATCAAAACAAAGTTGCAAACAACGACAGGTCAAAGGTCAACAGCAACCAATCAAGATCGAGGTTAGCAGAACAAGCTACAAGTCAAAAGTGGAGAAATTCGAATGCTTCGCTTCTATCTGAAGTTTGTGCTGATGATGTTGTTCAGAAGAACAATGAAAGCTCCACAGCCAAAACAACCAGCTCAGAGAACGAAACACCACCACAATCATCCACCTGAGCTACAACATTTCTCCACCATCTCAAAAACACATTTAACAAACAAGTGAAGCGAATTTACACAAAGGTCACCTAAACTTTATAATCAAGAATTCGTATTACCCTTCGAACTTATCAGAAAAAGTCGTTTATATATATATATATATATGTGCTGAAAGTCATCATAGCTCCAATCGGTCACTTATGCCGATGTAGATTGGGGGTTTAAGCCTATCATCACACAGTTAACAATTGTATAAATAGGAATAGAAACAATTAATTAAATACGCCAAAAGTATAAGACTGAGTATTTCACAACTTGTTTGACAGGAACTTTTTTTCTTCTTCATATTAAGCGAAATTTGAATGACAATGATTCATTCAACCTAACAGTATTCAATTGCAATCCTACAGTGATTACAGTTTATTGAACTAGAATAATAAGACGTGTTTCCAGAACAAGTAATTTTATCCAAATAAGGAAGGATTACGCTAGTTTATTGTTATTTAGCCTATTACACTTTTCGATGTGAAATCTAATTTTAATATCGTCTAACTATAGTATATATATATATATATATATATATATATATATATATATATTCAGAAAACTTCCTAGAAAAGAGAACTACAGGACACACCTTTTAGCTGAAATTTTCCCAGGAATCAAACGTTGTGCTGACATGACAGGAACAACAGCTGGTGTTAACACAGGACCGGATGATGATGAAGTTGAATTGACCTGAGGATGTATATCAGAATTCATCAATCTGTTGTTGTTGTTAGTATTATTCGCCAATTCTGAACTATGCACTTTTTTACTTCTTACAGATGATACAGGTGTTGATGAAGTGGACAAGATTTGCATATTGCTACTACTACAACTACTAAAATTTTCACTTTGTCTACGTTTTTCAGCTTCTTCAAATAATTTCATTGCACGTCTATGAGATGCAGCACTGCGTATACTTGATAACTGAAAAAACACAAACAAAAAGGGTTGTTTTTAAGATATGAATGGAATATAAAATAGAATATTCAGTAAAAATTTAACGAATTTCAAGTACGTAATGTGCATGATTTGAAAAACACAAAAAAAAAGATTGTCAGAACGACTTTCAGTCTTGTTAGGAGTTTCTCGTAAATAAATTGGGATGAGTCAGTCAGTCAGTCAGATGCAACGTAGAACTTTGTACATAAGTACATCAGTTCATGTTGCCATACCACTTCAGTCACTTCATCGATTTCTGCCATGTTTTGGTTTTGGCCCGCCCCCTAACTTTCTTCCAACCTATTCCCACACTATAAAACAAGGCTCGACGAGGCAGTCGGTGGTTCGGCATACGCAACACATGTCCCCAACCACCTTCAACTGGTGAAGTTTCAATACTTCATCGATTGATCTGCCATTCTTACCTAGCACCCGATTTCCTAATAACCAGCGTTGCTCACTCGGCTGTCCCACGATATACGAGCAATGCTTCTTAAACATCTATGATCGATACTAGTAACCTACGAACATCTTCTACTCTTAACGGCCATGTTCACAGCCATAAAG